ACATTACAAAGCTCTTGACATATCATATTTCATACATTAGATTGAAGTGGGTTATGAACTCCCAATTTTACCCCAAATGCAGATTGCAGAATCACATCGGTTATACATCCACAGTTTTACATAATGCCCAATTAGTAATTGTTGTATTTTGCTACCTTTCCTATCCCCTACTATGCCCCCTCTAAATTTTACTTTTTAATGCTTCTTAAATCCATGAAAATTCTACAAATAGCAGACATTCCTTTTGTAATAAGAACAAAAAATAAAAATTCTAAAATGAAATCTAATCATTTACACTTTGCACTGAAAATACTATACATTGTATTCATGAAGAAGGTCAAAGAGAAAAAAACACTCCCACCTTCTCACACAGTTCTGCTGATAAGGTGACTGAAATAATCATGCCTTTACCTGCGAGATTATTATTGCCAAATGATGCTTAAAAGAAGGCCTGAAGCTGGGGAAAGGCAAAATTAACAAACAAAACAAACAAACAAAAACCCTCCATATCTATCTATCTATCTGAAACATAAGAACTGAAAAATGAGAAAAGCTAAATATGCATAATTTGAGATGGAGAAAGCAGGCAAAATCATTACTTTTTTTAAGCATAAGTATCTTGCATCAAGTAGGTGCTTGACAAATGGTGAACAAGACTCAAAACAAACAGTCTCCAAACAACAACAATAACGGAATAAGAAAATTTCCCAGCATTTCAGAATATAAAAAGGGCAAAAGAAGTTTTGCCTTATGAACCTGATGTATTTTCTAAATAAAACAATTCACAGTAAAGGGATTCTAACACGTGGACTACTGAATGTCACATGAGAATTTACTATAAGAAGAAAAGTTAGAATTCTGTTAGAATCTAGAACAAGGAATTCCGATTTTGATTTGATAATCAGAAAGCTTACAAACTTATATGTAATATTGGCACATTTCTGGCCTACAGTTGAAGGACAACTAGATCAGAAGAGGCAAAACATATTCTATAAAGAAAAATTTATAAACATGGCAACATAATTTAAATTACATTATATATTAAAAATATCTGAACTAGCTGTTTCTCATGCTTTTCCACATTAACAAATACCTGATAAACAAAATAGCTTAAAAATCACACTTTCTTATTTAGCACTTCAATAATTCTTACTGTCTCTCAACAACTCTATTTAACATTAAAGTTATAATAATGAGAGATTAAATTGTATTGATTATAAATTCTACATATGACTTCCAATGCCACTGTGAAACCTTTTACTGTATTTGCTCTGATCAAATTGCTTTATTGTCAGTTGATCCCTTGAAACTGAAAACAAATACGGAATTCTTATTAACATAAAACATTAATTCTCCTCATACTCGTTTCTCTCTCTAGTCCAGCTTTTCAAATTGTACTCACCCTTGGGAGTGTCAGTGAGTTTATTTCTTTGAAGAATTAGCACCTTTAGAAAGAGAAGTTCATTTTGGAAGCTGCTTCTATGGTGTTTTTCTGGTGAGGAGTGAGGACTGGATAGATCCAACGAGATGGAGTGGATGGCACTGTTGCTTAGGTTGAGTATTTCCAAAGCATGTAAAGGTGTGAGAGGGCTCAAGGTCATTTTCCATAGGAGAGTATCAGGGAGGTCCAGGTGTTTTATTTTCCATTCTTCTTTTATCGTGTGAGACTGTAAGAGAACTCTAAAGAAACTGAAGCTTACGTTCACTGTGGCTGCTGTCTGTGATGAGTCCATGGGTAGCTCATGCTTTCCAGTAGAACAATTTGTTAGGAGATATTTATTACTTTGGTACTCTGAATTGAATAAAATACTGCTTTTTCTTGATGGATTTTCTCTTGTTCCAGTAAAGAAAACACCTATAACTATGGTAATAACTCTGAAATAGAAGTTTTTCATAATGCCTGGAAAAATGAAAAAAAATTGACTTTTCAAAATAACTTACATAAAAAGTAGCAGCAAATAAGAAGCAGGATATTTAATTTCCACTTCTAAGATTCAGGAAAGTTATCTTGATTATAAATTTAAGTGACTGATTTCTTAGAAGTCAAGACATTAAAAACATTTTAGTAGTTACTGAAATGGTATAACTAGCATAAAATTTTATTTATAGCACTTTAAAGAAAGGACTTGTCTGTATTTTCAGAAAATATACATTTAATAAGTCCTCACCTTGACACCTGCTTTTTCAGTATCATTCACTGCGTAGTCTGCTTTGGAGTGAGTGAAACTTACCAAGAAGACTTCTCTGTTTCTTTGCTGATCATTAGTAGGGAGCAAAGTCTGCTATGCTTATCTAGAAAATTGTAAGCCACGTGGTTTATTACATGAATGATATCCAGTTACACTAAACTGTGAACTTCCCATAACCCTGTAAGTAGAAAGTTCAACTTGCCAAACATATACTTTTTTCCATGACTAGAAAAACTAAAATCTTTGTCTTTGTGGTTTTTGTGACTTTTCAAATCATTTAAACATATACAACATAAATGTGTTATGAAAAGGATGTTCTGCCCCAGAACCACATAGATACAGTGAGAGATAGAAACCTCAGGTATCTTTTTCACTAAAAATTCTTGAGAAGCAACTGAAAGTTTTATAAGTATAAATACAAGCCACAAAGGCTGAATGCATACACAAAAATAATTTTAAAAAGAAATGCAAATGGGCTTTTGCAATTATTTTAAAATTCCACCTAAAAATCAGTGTATAAATAACCACATTATTCAGTATGCAGTTACAACAAATAGTTCCTTCCTTTCTGATTTAATGGCACACTTTCTAGTTTTCATTGCTGTAGTCAAAAATACTAGAATGTTCTAATTGAACTTCCTGCCTTTGACTCTTGACACTTCTTCTTTTTTTCTTGATCCATTTTAGGTGATTCTGAAGCATTATCTTCCCACAATACTGTTTTTCTTGTGTAATTCCCTTATCAATCAGATGATCAGAATCCTCAAAGGGCTCCTTACTGCCTATAGTCCAAATCTCTCAGAGTGGCATTCAAAGATTTGAGTTATCTAGCTGACCTCATGAACTAGTTTGAAAAATACATGTGGAGCAACCACAAGACATGGCTTAGGCACAGAACTATATATGCACATCTCATGTCAAAATTAGCTTTTCAACTATTCCCAATTCTAAGCTCAATGCCTTTTCCTCTCCTCAGTCGAAATCCTATACATTCTTCCATACTCATCTCAAATCCTATGCTCTAGCCTCTATTTGTCTTTATGCCTTCACAAATGTTTCATTAAATATTTATTGAATGAATACTATCCTGCATTTTTAGTGTTTTGCTTTGTGTCTGTCATGACTCTCTCTCTCTCTCTCTCTCTCTCACACACACACACACACACACACACACACATACACACACACCCATACACATTTCCATGTTTTATATTTTTAAACACACACACACATTTCCATTTTATATTTTTAATAGTCTGTAGTCTGTCTCTGGGCTATTCTTTGTTTGCATGAATGAATGTGTGGACTAAATTAATTTACAGTGTTAAGTTTTAAACTTTTTTTCATACAAGGTCAGTTCTCTCAAATTCTGGATGACATCTAAATTCATATACATGACCATGAACTGCAAAGCTGCCCTATAGCAGGAGGGGTGATTTATAGTGTGTCCCTTATGCACAGAAACTGAATTAATTTGTCCAGTCAAAAAATATTTCCTTCTACATTCAAGCTGTAATCATTATAACTGTATATGCAGCTAATACTATAACATTAGCAACAACAACAAAATCATTTAAAGAATCACATCACTTTGTAGTACTGAAGAGAAAGATGTAGTTGAAAAATACTTTTTCTTAAAAAGTTTTTAACTTAAAGATTTCTATTGCCTTGCTTCTTTTTAAATTGAAGACACTGATACGTTAATGGATTTAAGTTCAAAACACATAAGAATAATCCTATTATCTTATAGTGAAAGTTATTTACTTGTAAATAAACATTATTTTTATTACATAGAAATTTGTATAGACTGAGTATACATAAATTCTTAGTGCTGTTTAGCACTAAGAACTCCAGAAAAAGTTTGTGAGGAAACTGAAAACAATAAGATAAAATGTAAGTCTTTAAATAGACATATTCAAGCTGAAGTTTGAAGAAGCAGTTAGAAATACTGGGCGTGGGTGTGCAAGTCAGAGAGAAAGAGGAGGAAGAAGGCAGTAGAGGAAAAAAAGTAGAAACGAAATGAAGAATTCATTCTTAGATAAAAACAAGTTGGAAAAAGAGAAAGAAAAAAAACTAAGACTATTTTGGTGATGAGAAGATGTGGAAAAAATATGATACGCTGCTTCTGAGACATACCTTAAGAGCCTTAGGTAGTTTTCAAGTGGGTTTATAGCTGAATTAGCCAGGTGGGGATTTCAGAACTGAGCCTTGGAGGCTCCTCCCCTCCTGCCATCATGCTAGCTAAGTGGCAAGCCTTCACCCTTTCATCTCCAGCATTGGCCGCTTGCCAGGGTAACTGTGCACAGTTAATTCCCTGGATGCTGGAGAGATGCCTTCTGCAATGCAAATGGGGTAGGACTATCCACACTGCAACTTTCTAAATCTGATATCCAGAGATATTACATAAATACAGATGAAGTTCCATTCTCAAAACATATTTAAATTTATAATGTCTGCATGATCAAGTGGAAATCCATGAACATATAAACACTAAAAAACTAACAGCCAATAGTTTACAGAACTTTTATTGCAAACAGAGGTCATTAATAGTCATTACAAATTGAATGAACTGAAATGCAAGTTAGCAATCTGAAACAAATTTTTATCTACTTAATTTTTTTTTTGTATGGCATGATTTCTAATCTTTGCCCCTCTTAACACTTCAGATGAGTAAAACTGTCAGCATTTCAATGGTCTCTTGGCTGTCAAGTTTAGCACCAAAACATTTTACTTCCTTAAAAAAACACTCATTCAAAACTAGATAGAATTTCTATCTTTCATCATCAAAACTATCACACAAAATTTATTTATTTTTTCACAATGCCAAAAAAATACAAATTAGTGTATTTTAAAATATTGCAGACTATATATAGGCAGTCCCTGCTTTGTGTTGTTTTGCATTTTTCCTATCTGCCCATTAGACAGTCTCTAAGAAATCATGCATTTATTTATTTTTATTCCCCATGTCATGGTAATCCACCTCTAGAATACTGTCATTATTCAAACAAGCATGTATCTACATCCTTCTTAGGGTCCTCTATCATTCACCTCTCCCAAAGCTGCTGCTTGCCCTGTCAGTGCTTAATGGAATCAGGAAGAGGTAAATTTATCCCTTTATAGAAAAATACCATCTGGGGGTGCTATTGAGTTGCTGAAATTTTACTGTGAATCAAAATAGGTCACAGGTAAAATGGGTGGTTTGTTCTTGTTCTTCTTCCCAATAAATTTTCCAGGTCTACATTTCAGTAGAAAAGCAAAGACTACCTACAGAGTATCCTAAATGCTATACCTGATAACAGTCAATTTTATAAAAACACCAAAATATCTTCTCATGTCAAAAGCACTTAATGGAAATGTATCAAAAACACAAATATTTCTCAAAGAGAAGTAAAAATAGACTATATCATGAATTAGATTCAATAAATAATACTTTGTAATATAGTGTTCTGTGGTTTTAGTAAAAATATTTAAAGAAACTTTCAAAACAAATCTAAATAGACAAGTAATGAATGTACAATTTAAAAATATACTGAGCATCTAAATGAAAATTTCAATGATTATTTTCTGAGAATCATTCAGACATTAAAAGATATCTAAAAGGTTTCAAATATCACTATAACTAATAATACTCAGAGGTCAGAAATCTCTCACTTTCTTTTCACTTAAAAACTGCTCTCAGTATTATGTAGTAAGTCAATCCTATTTCAGTAAAATTTATTGACTTCATAATCTTTAAGGTATATAGTTTTTCTGTAAAAGAGAACCATGATTATATTGAATACAATTTTTTGCATTGATTTTCTTATCTACACAGTTCAAAGTGACCATGACAGAACATGGTTATATTTCATTGCAAATAGAACCTATGATATGTACCTAGTGCCTATTGGATGGCAATCTACTTTGGGTTCCCTGTCCCTGATCCTGTGTGTGTCTTAATAATACCAGAGAGTTCCTTTCATATCAAATACAAAATATGTTAAAAATCAACTGGTTTGAGGGTATAATAGAAGCGATATTAGAAGATAAGTTCTTACACTCAAAAATTTTGAGTATTATCTCCTGCTTTTAGTTCCATATCCTGACACATTAAAAAGGGTGACATTAGTGTAGTATGCTGTCGTAAAACCAGCAGGACTTGGCTAGGCCTACTGTCTCCCACTGCACTGAGCTGCCCTAGGGCTAAGGGTGAGAATGTTACTGTACCCCTGGAACCTATTCAGGTAATCCAGTGTGCCAATGACCTTTATTTGGAAAACTGGTAAGTCATAGGTAGGCCAATTACACCTCTATATCAAATAGTATTTTGGAATTGGCTTAAGATAGTTAAAATCTGACAGTGATTTTTTTTTTATCTGATATGAGATTTATTTATTTTAAATAGAGTAGTCTGTTTTGTTTGATTTTCTTACCTTAGGGAAGTTTGATTTAGTCCTTCATCTTTCTAGAGTTTTAAATAATTGAGAATTCAGTGCAGATAGTAAAAAGAGCATGATATTTGGAATCAATTACATCTAGGTTTGAATCACACCTGCATTCCAATCCCAACTCTGCTATTTACTATATCATCTTAGGCAAGTTTATTAATTTGTCTGATCCTCAGTTCCTAATGGGTAAAACTGGGATAGTAACACCTATTCAGAGAGCCTCAGTGAGAACTAGAGACATTAAATATGCAATGCCCGGGAAATCTAAGACACTCAACAAATGACTTAAAAGCTATCATTACTTAAAAGTTAAAACTGAGCATGTGTCTGCTTTCTAC